CAGAAAATTTAACTTAGCATAATAATAAATAAATGAACTAAATCCCACTAACATTATAAACTAGTGAACATCCCGCAGTTTCACCCTCGGTAGTTATGTTGGAGTAAAGAGTATCGTAGCTACATGTATGTATATCGATGTTTGGAATGTATATAGGTATCCTGAATCACGCACATGATTTTTATCCTGAAATTTCCTCAGGATCGGAGAAGCTAAATTAACGCGAATGAAACCGCGGGGTTTCCACATAAAAAATACTAATGATATTTATGTAATTGTGATTTTCCATTGACAATAGTTTGTAGTTGTGATCCAATTTTACTTGTACCAATTATTATAAGAGATTTAAAATGCTCATCGGTTAACTTAGATCTATAAACATTTTTTGTGTACTTCATTTTGGTGAATGTTTTCTCACACAAGTAAGTAGTACCAAAAATAGAAAACAGCCCACGACCAAATTTATGCAAATTTAAATTATCAAATTGTACCAGTGGAAGACTTATAAAATTCTAACCAAGACGAGTTTTGAATTTCGATCCCTTCAATAAACTCGCGGAATTGTCGTTAATTCAGCCCAGTGGATCTGATGAAGTTAACAACTGATATGACTGGTTTTAGAACTTCAGACATATCCAAACATTTTCCGCACAGGGACTGTTGATGAATGATACAATGTAAGACTAATGCGATCTCTTGTAGCCTCCGAGCAACGGTGTTTGCTGACAAACTGACAATTTTAAATACATTTACCTTTTCGGGGCACATTTCTTTAGCTACTGCAATTACGAATTCTTTAATTATTTCTCCATCTGTAAATGATTTTCCACGTTTTGCAATTTCAAGAGCCACACGGAAGCTGACACGAGTTGCAACCTCTTTGTTCAATATTTCGTAAACAAAGATTGCTGCGATTTCAATCCACTCTACCCCATTAAACCAACTTAGATCCCTATGTAAGGAAATCAGACTAGTCTTAAAATGTTTCTAAAATTATGATCTAGTTCAGTGTTTCTTTAAAGTGTGCTCTGCGGAGCACTGGGACTTCGCAAAGCCTTTGTGGGGGTTCCGCGAAGAAAATAATAGTTATAATAAAAATCTGATGTGTGTGTCCTATACATAATTTCTCTAAAATGGACCGTATTCGAGATATTTGATAAAATGTGTAAATTTCGAATTTTGAAGAAAACTCAAAAACGGATAGAGAAAAAATATAATAAATTTTAAACTTAAGTTTTATTTCGGCCTGACGTGAAATGATTAGATTTTGGACAAAGTAGGAACATCTGGGAGGGGGGGGGGGGGGGGGGTACTTTATGGGAGGCCGTTTTTATATTTTATGGAATATGTCTGTTATTTATGTTTGGAGAAGAAAATTGTTTTAATAAAAGTTACTTCTAATATTATTATCTATAATTTTTGTTTCATGTTAAAATTTCCTGAAATGGTCCGTATTCGAGAAATTTGACAACATGTGCAAAATTCTGATTTTTATGAAAATTGTTAAACTAAAAGTTGTTTGCGATATCGATCTCTATAATTTTTGTTTATACATGATTTTTCTAAAATGGACCGTAATGGAAAAATTGTAGGAAAAGTGCTAAATTTAAATTTTTCAGTATTTTCGTTTTCAATGAATATCTATAGAAAAATGTTTCGAGGTAGATGTATGTGGAAAATGTATCTTTAGTTTATCCTCTAAACATTTATAGAGGTGCTACAATAGGTTGTACAAAATAACCGGAAAAAGCCTGTAATAACTAGATAGGAAAGTCATGTGTTGAACACATCAGATTTTTAAATATAGTTTTTTGCACAATTTTTGGTTTCCATTTACAGCTCGAGAATGGCAATTGAATTTTATCGGCCACTGTAATCTTCCCTAAAATAGTAATATCTATTACGGTTTAGAATATAGTAATGTTGACACAACATAAAAGAAACGGACAGTATGTATTACTTTTTTATCTACTTACGTATTAAAAAAATCAATAATTTTCACTGTTTATCGAAAGACTATATAAATGTTTTTCGTACCATTGTCAACATAAATATTTCTGCTATTCGCTCCGTGCGCGACAGCAGCGCCAATTTGTTTTGGTATTAAAGGAGTATTTCTGCCTATACTGACAAATACAATTTTTAATAGAATTCGTAAATAAAAAGTATATATGTTAGTTTTAATAAAAGTATATGGATTTATAAAACAATTAAAACATTAATTTATTATTATTATATATTTTTCACGCTTAAATTGAAGAAAATTATGTATAATCATTAAAAATCAATAATAAAATATAGGCAGGCAACAGTATTTACTGGAAAATGTATGAGAAGTTGCCTAAGTCTAATAAGTTGTCATTGAAGAAACCATTTATAATAGCGTGAAGTTAAAATGTATAAAAAGGATCGCTACTTATATTTTTATTTTTGTTCTAAAGAAAACATAGAATGAATGATTAAAACTGGTTTCCGATTAGTAAGTCACAAAATTGCATACCAGCCAAATATTATAATCAACGGCAGAAATCTTGAAATCTAGTCCTTGCTGAATGAACATTTAAGAATAAAGGGATATTAAAGAACATCGTAAAATGATAATTTATTGTTTATTTAAAAACTTTCTAGTTTCTGATGTCTACTATTTCCAGCATTACTGTTATTATCACAAAAATAAAGGTAATTTTTCTTCTTATTGTACACCTATCCATTTATTTCTTTGATTTAATTTCCACTTTGTTAGTGAAATTTGTTATATAAGTTTCACTGTTTTTTTTGCTAGTATTTGTACAATTTTCAACACAGCAACTCCGGTTGCTTATTGTGTTGTTTTTACCTACTTTTTTGAAAAAAAGTAAAATGTATACGTGTATTTGATATGCCAAAATTACAAAATATCTCCCTAAAATGCACGAATTATCCGCAGCTAGCGCTAGTATCGCTTTTGCTTCCCTTTCCATGACTTCGCACGGAGCGAATAGCTATAGAGTAATGTTTTTAAACATCTTAATTTTTGATAAAAAACTTTAAAAAACAACATTTCAAATATCAAAAAACATCAAAATGTGTACTTTTATTTATCATTTTAACTGGTTTTTTAAATTTTTGAAGTCGAACAAATCTTCCGTATTTTTTCCATCTCAAGAGAATAAAGAACAAACCGGAAAAAAGAATGAACCAAATATGTCATTCCATGATCGATAATGCATAAAAACATTATGATTTTTGCAGTTTGTCCAAATTTTTAAACTTTCTTTTGTAATTATTGTTCTAAAATGTTTTGTGAAAACTTTTCCAGGACCATAATGAATATAAATAATTGCGAATATGCATCGTACGATTTGTGAGTAATGGTCTTGAATTCGAAAAATCACTCTTATTTTTTTCCCGAATTTTTCAATTTTCCGGGCAATTTTTTCGATTTTTATTCTTTTCCTAAAACCTTATGTGGAATATTAGGGGACATTTAAAAGAAAAGTTGGTCGAACAGTTCTCAAAGTGATACGCTTACGAACACGTACAGCATTTAATTTTTATTTATTTAATATATAATTTAATATACAGTGTGTCTCCGGATAGGTGAAACGACTTGTGAAAAGGTACAAAATTCTCGATTTAAATTTTCATTTTTTGGGATTCAGCGCTGCTTGGTTAAATACTAATAATAAACATAATTTCAGTTTTAAGAAATCAGGGATGTCTTAAAAATTTTCAAAAATCCTATTTTTCTTCAGACTAAAGTTACTTTTATATTGCAGATATAACCAAAAGTTATTAAGAAAAGTTGTTTAAAATCCCCATCTAGGTCCATATACCAAATTGGAAAAGCCTCTGCCAACTATGATTTTTCATTTATTTTGTCAATATTAAAAATCAAAGTTGGTCGACGATTTTGAAAATTGGAATACGGATTTATTTTGGATTTCAAGCAAGTTTTGTAAATAATTTTTTGTCATATAGGGTATTCAAAAATTTTGGATTTTTCTTTCGAATGGATGTCTCCCATGCCCGGTTAGCCAAATATTCACTGCGTTCGGCCCATGTCTGGAAAGCCTAATATGGACCATATGCGGTTTCTACTTCTAAATTACGTCAAATGGTACGGTCCGCCCGGTTCCAGAAGAAACTCCGACAACGGCAATCCGACTATTTTGTGGTTTACTGGGGGGGGGGGGGGGGGGGGGGGATGTTTATGTTAAAATCTTATAACCGTAAGGGAATAATAATAATAATACTCTCCCTAATTCACCCCCTTACGAGTGAATTTCAACTCCTGAAGTCGACTGAACGACTTTGTGTAGGGGAAGGGACGGCTATTATTATTATTTTCCGTGGCGCTCCGGGGCGACTTAAAGATGATTGATGGTGCCATTTGACTTACAGGTGAGGAAAACCCGGAAAACCTCACCCACCATCATCGAGACGGTAATGCATGGCGATTTTTTAATATGCATGTCATATTAACAGAAATTGAATTTCTATTAATACGGGCACACATCAAATCCTAAACCGAACCATGCAATTTAATTAAAAAATCCACATGGTCCGGTCTGGGACTCGAAGCCCAGCAGTCTCAGACTCCATAAACTTGCCTATAAATGAATATAAGCGCGTTAGGACCGCTACACTACCGACCCGAATTTATTTAGAAAACTATGTATTCACTTATGAAATTAATTTTATTACTCTGTAGAATAAAAATTGAGACGTTTGCAGGAAAATTTAGCTTTCTTATTAATTATAAGATTCTCTGTTTGCGCTACTTTATTTTGAAACACCATGTAAGCGCTCAAAAGTAAATCGCACTTTTTTAATACTAAAATTTGCAAATTAAATTCAATTTATTTTAGAGGTTTTTTTTTTAATTTTTTATTTGATAATAATTTTAAACGTTATACGTAAATTATAACATATTTTTCGAACTAAAATGTGTTTAAATGTCTGTCGAAAAATTATTGCTACCTGCAGGTTGTGTCATGTCAAGGATTGTATTGTTATTTTTCAAAATTTTTATTTTTCAATTAAGTTTTCCCCTTCGGGTATATTTACAGTAATAAAATATTCCTAATACGTTTTTGAGTTTCATAATATATTTGATTTTAATATTCATAGAGCCATCTACAATAAGTTATAAAACTTTCAAATCTTCAGAATAGGGTTCTGTAGTACACAACAAAATGTGCCGCTACTAAACGATAGATGTCACGACATACATATAAATTTTCTTCATTTGTCGATCTGAATTTCTAGGCGTTAAACTTAGATGGCACTAGAATTTATAAATTTATTTTATTTTATTATTACTATTTCCAGTATAACAAAATCAGGCGGTATAATCTGAATTTAATCGTAACAGAGTTATAAAAATATTTTTAATTGGTAATAAAATTCATTCATTCGTTTGTATAAAAAATGAAATTGCGTAAAAAAATTATAAAGCAATGGAGATACTTTTCTCATTCATATCTTTTTAATAAAAGCTCTAACTATTTTTTCAGTTCTTTTTAATTCAGCCTTAATTCTATTACTGGGATCAGCGTCTCTTAAAGTTTCTCTAAATGCGATATCTTCTTGTTTTACCACTTCTAAAGCCATTTCTTGTTGATTAACTTTTGATAGAGGTTATTTCAGTTTGGATACCTTCGGTATTTTTAACTAGAACTTCTTGTGTTTGTTTGGTTTCTTTAACATCGACGTGGACTTCACTTAGCTTCATAAATACTTCTTCCCTGTTTTTTTGCTGTCCTCTTCTTGATTCTTTGTAACGGTTTCGAGTAAATATATTGTTTCTTCGTTGCTTTTACTGACATTTTTCCATCAATTGTACCACTCCAGCTAATAGTTCTTTGAAACGGTCTTTTAACATTTTAAGAAGTTCATCGTGTTTAGTTTCTCTGTCATCACTGGCTTGTTCGTGATACTGTTTTCATTTCTAATTTAGCATCTTCGTGAGGATTTTTAGTCATAATATAGTTTTTAAACAGTTTGTTTTAAATCGTCTGTAATTTCTAAGTAGTAATTTGGGATTTCGAAATGATCGTCTAATATCCAACTTTTCATAATTTCATCAGGATTCTCCCAGGAAAATATTTTTCTGTATCCGTATTTTTTTGGATTTGTGTTGTCAGTTTTGTAAAATAAGCTGTTATTCGAATTGTTTCTTATTATTATACCTACTTTTGCGTATAGTTTAGACGTTTTCCATTTGGTTTCATCAAAGGAAACTTGTTTTCCTTCTTTAATTCCTTTTTTATTTCTTTTAGAGTCTCCATAAATGATACCTGCAAATAATTTAAATCATTAATTAGGTAGGTACCTATTTATAGTTTCTAAAGTGACACTTCTTCATACTAAATACAAAAAATAAACACATGTTTGGACTGTACGCCTCACAATTTTACTTCAGAATCCAATACATTTGAAAATAAATAATTAAACCTTTTGAGTCAGATTTAAAAAAGAATAGGACATTTTTTTATCCGTTTGAGTTACGATTATTTGATTTGCGGCAATGCACTTTTTTCCTTGAACTCTACAAAATGGTGTACGGGTATAAATATCCCGATGACTCAAAATTTCAAATATTTAGAAAGTAAAAGTCTTCACGAGACGGGTCTTACCTTTGATTATTTCTGTTTTTGTAATTTCCCTATTCTGTTCGGTCATGAGAAAATAATTGAAAATTCTGTCAGACGCGTCTATGGCTAATTTTTTGCATGGCCCGTTTTTCCCCACCATTGCAAGTTAGCTTCATAAATTGAATTTCAAAATTACTGAAAACTTCCAGTGCAGCATCGATGATGGTTTCTCTAAAACATAGTTCCAATCATTTTAAAACGCCCTCATAAAAAAGAAGTCAGGGTGGGGGACAAATCTGGTTATCTTGGAATTCACCTATTTATAGTTTATTTGAAAATGCATGATGGTACAGTTTTTATGGCAAAGGACTATATGTATACATTAGTATTCAAATCTGAAAAAAAGTAAATATTGGTACCTTCTTATCTGAATTTTCACTAGATTTTAGTATGACCATCCCGAAAAATCTCGAATACAATACATCATAAAATGTAAATAAGCAAACCCTAAGGGATTAACAAATAATTATATACCTCAGTAACGTGGAACACGAAATTACTTTAATATAAAAAAGAGTAAACTGTCTATATTAAGTATAAAAATAGTATACTAGATATTAGGTTAGGACAATTCCTTAAAATTTAATAATATACACACAACCAAATTTATATGATAAACGAAAAAAAATCTCCAAAAAAAATATTTTTCTCATAAAACACTCATATTTCGTTTTTAGAAATACGGGGTGATTCCATGTAAATTTGTTTGTTTGTATTTCGAGTACTAGTGTCATATATATAAACTTATTATAATTAATATAAATATAGAGTTACATAACTAAATAAATAAGTCGTTTTCTCCCCCTCCCGATAAGGAAAGTAATCATATCAGTTTCCTCACTTTCCACAGAAATAATAATAAGTTCTGTTTCCTCTATTAACATATCAAGTTTCCAGCAGAATTTCTCTTCCTCTGCTATGACATATCTTATAGCGATTTGCGTGAAATTTTGGATAAGGAGTCACATAATAGTTGACGAACATCTTGAAATTTAAATGTTGTATTGTTTCTCGCGACTTAAATTTTGGTGAATGTTGTTTACATAACTGCAATAGGTCTTTTTTTAATAATCCCTCTTCTGCCACTATTTCTTTGGTTACTAGCCAATCGGAAAGTTCTTGCTTTTTTCATTTAGTGTTAAGTAACTGTTCCTTTTAATCTTGAATAGTAACTGGCATTGTCCATAACTATTACAGAGATGGTCGGTAATAAATCTATCATTTGACTGAAATATTTCTCAAAAACATTAGCAGTCATTTCTTCATTGTAGCCTTTCGTAGAATTTGAAACAAATTCTAACAAGTCTCTATCAACAAATCCTTTATCTCCTCCAATATGAGTGATAATTAAACGCCGACCTTTACCATTTGGTAATTTTAAGCCAGTAGACAAACCTTTCTATAAATGACTAACAAGCATTTGTAACCTGTTTATCTTTTTACAAAATGTCCTTTATTTATTCATGTTTCATCCAAATAAAAAATATTTTTGTCTTCTCTTCTTAATTTTCTAAGGTCCCTTAAATATTGCCTCCTCCAACAAATAATTTCATCTTTCTCTATGAGCGCAGATTTTCTATCGTTCTTCTCCCAAACGAAGTGTAATTCATATAGAGTTTGTCACAATTTGTCTCTTTTAACTTTTGGCAAAGTTTCGACTCCATTAATGTTTACTAAAAGTTTATTCAAAGTAGGTATCTTTTTTTTGTAAATAAAACGAATGCACTTTTCTTCGGATCAGTTATTTCACAGTACTTCCATCCTTTCGTTGCTTCAAAAGTCTACAAATGGTTGCTTCTCCAACTCCGGTCATATTTGAACACTTAGAATCCGTACTCCGAACAGTACTATAGGGACCGTGCGTCATGACTTTAACGCTAACTGGTGACAAAAAATTTGAACTTTATGGGGGATATTTATTAATATTTTATACGGCATTTATTGTTTAATAATTATTAATTAAATAAAGTCGAATTATTTACGTAATATCATTATCGAAAAAACTTGTTGCATCCGTGGATGTACGAACACATTACTTTGGAAACCTGGATTTCATTCGATAGTAAAGAAATTTTATGAATTTCCACAGAGCAGAATTAGTGTCTCACATCCAATGATATACATAATTATATAGATTGCTTATCCATATGTAAATCAGACAACGAAAAAACGTATTTCACTGGGCAAAGTTTTTTTTTAATCTAGCTTGTATCAATTTTGAGCACTTAGTTGTAAAGAAATCATTTACAGAACCGGTTTAGAAATTAGAATCTTTAGTGTTTTCCTTGTCATTAAGATTTTTACATATTTAAATGAACATTTTATATAAATATAATTTTTACAGATAATTAATGGTTTATTCTGTTGATTAAAAACTAATGTAGAACGTTTACTATGAAATAAGTATGGTTACTATGAAATAAGTATGTCCAATTTGACAAAAATATCATAGCCTTCTTTACAATTTATTAACTATTTTTCATTTATTACTAAAATAAACAAATCATAAATAATACATTGCAAGTGCTGTCAGAAGAGATTGCAACAAACTTTAAAATATTAAAAATCCAGTGATTTTTGTAAATTTTTTTAGTGACATTACCATTAAAAATTATTCAGAATAATCCAATTACAACTCTTACCAAAGTTTTTTATATCTCATATTAAAGTTGTTTACATTTTCTTTTTGAAATTGTATTACATATTGCAATTATGTATTATATGTAGTGTTATTTCTGAAATGAGAGTAGTCTAAAGTTATTTATATCTATCTGTTTTAAAAATTGTTTAGATCTCTTAATATTATTTAACTACATGGAAACTCAACTGTCCAAATACATAATAACGTGTCTTGAAGTAAAACTTTAATTATTTTCTTTTTCTAAAGATTAAAATGCTGAAATTTTATATAAAACACATTTGGGCTAGAACGGCTCTATTTAGTGAGCACTAGGAAAGGTACATTGCAACCCGCTTTTCGTAATTTTTTATAGATGGGTGAGCAATCTATAATATGTATATCACTGGGCGTCTCATAAACGTCAGTGGATGAATGACATTTCGTCTAACATAAAGCTAAAAAGAATTATTATTATTCCCAATCTTTTTTATTAATTTACATTTTTTAAATGTTATTGTAATACTTTTAAATTCAGTGTTACTAAATACCGATATTTTGACATTGGATACACTTGTTTGAGGTACAACTTTACAATTTATTGTCACTTTGTCATTTAAATGTTTTTGCTTAAAATGTATATGCATGTCCAGATTTTAATAATGTTTTACATTTTATATCATTTTGACCATGTACTCGATTGTTTGGCACGGACCGGTATCTATATTTAACTATATTTAATATTTTAAAAAATATCCTTTATTATTTACTTGCAATGTTTACCCCATTTAATTCTAAAATTAAACACTAGAGAGGGCTAACTTCGGCAGTAGTGCTGCCTCTATATTTCACGCACGGTCCCTATTGAAATGTTCATGTACAAGAACGTCATGTACATTTATCACTAAAGTTTTCATATGCACGGTTAAATTGCCCTTTAATTTCACATGAGTAGGGGAAACCGGGGCAGGTTGTAACACGGAGGCAAGTAGTAACGTTGCCTGTATAGCAACCAACAGAATGATACGTCAGGGCTACGATTTCGTGTATCAACCCCAGTGTTGCCGTTTGGGGTGGAAATTTCCCCCATTGGGTGGAAATTTTGACTATGGTGGGAATTTTGGGTGAATACAATATTATTGGGGAATTTTTGGGGAATTTGCTCCCATCGAGGCTCCCATAATGATTTTTAAGCAAATTAATCTTGTTACATTAGGTCATTGAGCAGACTTTATTAGGTGATTGAAGTCAAAGATTGTCTATCTCTTGCTGATGGGTCCTCATAAGGACGAAATCGGCTCAATTCTTCTTAGGAAGCAAAATCAAAGTTATAGTGTAGAAAATTATTTTCTCTCTGCTCTTTTCCTTTTGATATAATTCAATGCCTATTGCGGGATTAGCCAAGGGAGTAGTTGATTTCAGGAAGGAAAGGATCGACAACTTGCTGTGACACGGACTTTGAGATTTTGTTTGCCTTTGTTTGTCAGATAAATTTTAATTGGCTCTCAGCGTCGAGTGTATTTAACCACTAGATCAGCTGATATGTTGAAATGTCTTTTCAATTTTGTTGTGCTGCGTTTGAAAAGTACCTCGTTCTGCTTTTTTATCTCGATTTTGTTTTTTTAATATATTCAAGCTCCGTTAGTTCCATTGATATGGTTTGCTCGATGTCACGTGCCCAAAAAATTACTCGCTCTGCTCGAGGAGGTACATTTTAAATGGAGCATAAAACGCTTTTCCGGATTATAGTTATATAGAAAACATTTTTTTAGTGTGGGTGGAAAAAAAGTGGGTACATTTTGGTGTTTTTATTTGCAGTATGAGGAACTACAAAAAAAAAGTGAGAGAGGGCAGACACCCAAAGAGGTGATGGAGAATGCCGTAAATAGAGTTTTACATAATAATAAATCGGTTAGATCAGTGGCTAGAAATGCGAATATTTGTCATGTAACTCTCCACAGATTTGTAAGGTGATTTAGGCAAAAGAGTCATGGAAAAAGAAACCAAGGTGCTGGGGAAGACTGGCTAACAAGTTTTCTAAAAAAATATCCAACTCTTTCTATTCGTGTTCCTGAGGCAACTAGTATTGAAAGGGCTACAAACTTCAATAAATTCAACGTTAGTTGTTTTTTTGACAAGTATAGCTGATGTGCGTGACCAGATTTAATTTTGCGCCATCAGATATATGGAATTTAGATGAAACTTGCTTGTCGACTGTACAAAGAATAGGAAAAGTTATAGCGGAAAAGGGAACCAAACAAGTTGGAGGGCAAAATTTCTAGCGAGTGATATTGGAAGTCATGTTCCTCCGATGTTTTTGTTTCCCCATCTAATTTTGTTTCCCCGTAAGTGCTTCCAAGATCATTTCATCCGAGATGGTCCTCCAGGTTGCATTGGTGCTGGCAATGGGTCCGGTTGGATGACAGCTGAGGAGTTTTACACGTTTATTCAGCACTTTGTTTCTCATGTTCGACCCTCTAAATTAAAACCAGTCCTACTATTATTAGACAACCACGACTCTCACACGTCTTATAAGACCGTTAAAATATGCCAAAGACAATGGGGTGGTATTGCTTTCATTCTCTCCCCATTGTTCCCATCGTCTGCAACCATTCGACAGGTCTGTCTACGGGCCTTTAAAAAAATATGTGTCTTCTGAACATGATGATACTTGGATGCGAAATAATCCGGGTAAATCAATGACCATCTACGACATACCCGGACTGGCTCGAGAAGTTTTGCCTTTGGCTCTTATACCAAGACATATTACTAAAGGCTTTCAGTGTACCGGCATAGAACCTTTTAACAAAAATATATTTAGTGAAGATGATTTTTTATCGGAAGTGGGTGTTACTGATCGGCCACTGCCCCTCGCACCTGAAGCTCTAGTAGAACAAGTAGATAACTAGCCATCTTCCTCTGTTAGAACTCTTCAACTAGTGCCAGTAGAACCTAAAAAGAACCTACTAACTACTCCGCATGATGCGCTTCCAGAAACAAAAGGTAACCGGCTAACTACTTCAACAGCTGGTTATTTAAATCGACCTACTACCTCCCGAGTTTATCAGGCTACTACTTATACTTTTTTAGTTCTTGATTTAGATAATTCTACAAATTTGACCTTTTGGATACGATACCAAAGTTCCTTCTACTTCGCAGAGCCCTGATTTTTCTCCAAAGCGAAGTTTGTCACCATCAGACTTTTCTACTGCAGCAGTTAGACCAGTTCCCAAAGCTGCACCTAAGAAACAAACAACTTAGAGGTCGGACAAAAGAAAGGCTGCGGTTCTAACTGATACACCTCGACTACACGCTTTAAAATGTGAAGCTGCCACAAAACTTTTCAAAAGTAGGTAAAATGCCAGTAGCAGCAAAAAATAAGTTAAAAGCAGAGAAGAGGAAAGTGCTAGTAGAATCATCTGACGAAGATGAAACCATTTGTATAGTTCGCTACGATAATTACGACAACAGTAAACCAGGGGAAGTGTGGATTCAGTGCCGTAAATGCAATGAGTGAGCACTCAAAGAATATATCGTCAGATTATACGTGTCACCACTGCGTTTATGACAATGACTAAATGACAGTCAAAACATTGAAATTGCAAAATAAGCGCTATACGTTTGGTTTTGTAAATGCGTGTATCTGTTATTTGTTTTTTAATTTATCCACAAGATTTGTTTATTTTTCTTAAATTAGTTTTGTTTTAATTAGAAGATGAATTTTGTTTACTTTTTTACTTAATAATTTTTTTATTTGATTTTTTTAATAAAGCCAGTAATAATGTAGTTCTATATGTTTTATTTCATTAGAAATATCACAAGACATTTATTTGTAACATTTTGTCTACCGATTACGCAATGGTACAACTTTCCCCGGACACTGTTACAATTTACCCCATGAACGGGGTACATTGTAACAAATTCAGAGCTTCATAATTTCTTGAACCAACCAAAGAGTTTTAATATATTTAAAAACAAGATATCAGCTAACTTTAATTATTGTTTACACAATAAAATATGAACAGTAGAAATTCTGAAAAATAAAAAATAACTGAAAAAAAAATCAAAATCTTAAAAATGTTACAACCTATCCCGGTCTCCCCTATAATTAGACGTTTGTGCCATTTTTATTGCACAAATTCACTTGATCACTATCACTATTTATCGCCTATTATTACAGAACTAACAATTCTGCGTGTTACAGTCACAGGACTATACAAACAGAAATGTGAATTTTATACAATAATTTACAATCTGCATAACACTTTCTGTCGATTAGAAATTTTAATCCTTTTTAAGAAAGTTGAGGGCTACTTAAATTGATCTTGAATTGTAAATATTTTCTACCTGTAGAGATTACATACTTATTTTTGTTGATTAAAATGACCAGAAAATTTAAGACAAGAATTGAAATAAATTGGTATTTTTAAAAATTTATTTTGGAACAAATAATGCTAAACATTTTATTTTAGAAATTCTCCGTCACTGATTTATGATATATTGGGGTTTATCTCTGGGCCATAAATAATTTACTATCATTCATTTTGAAATAAACTAAAGTTATCCTCAACCAATCGGTTATCTTAGTTATTGTTGATCCAATCAGGGCTCTATTAATGATTGTATAGTAAGGAGAAGCCTCATCTCGTCTAAATATACCTTCACAATATGAGAACAGGTGGTATAAATACATTATAACTTACCTTAATTCTAGTTTGTGATCGCTGAAATAATAAACCAAGTCGGCGAGTATCCTAGAATTTTTCTTTTCGATTTTTCGAAAAATTGTAGTTTCTCCCGTTTTCAGGGCACTTCCCACCCATTTAGGCAAATTGGGGATTGCTGAACATAGTAGGCTCAATGCAGTGACATGTATACTAGTTGGTCTAGCAGGTAGAGGGCGTTCTTCTAGTAGGTGTAGGCAAAAATTTAAATTGAATTCTACGTTTTCGACGATGTAGTATACAAATTCCTTCAGTCTTTGTTGTGCAGTCTCGATGTTTATTTCTAAGTCTGTTGTTATTGAAAATTCGTCTGAATCTAAAAATGAAATGATTAAAAATTACCTATTTTGAAAAATTGTATAAAACTATTTCAAGATTTTGTGAAAAACGATAAAAGAACCAGTATATAACAGCTTTTTCTGAACGCTTGGTCATAGAGGGTGATTATTAGTAAGTTCTTAAAACCTATCTTTAAGAATCACCCTCTATACCTTTATGATGTATGAGTCTAAACGTTCTGGAATAGTGGAAGAATAAATTTAGTAAAAAATAAATTTAAAAATAATTCGGTTTAAATCTCTGAAATCTGTTATTTAAAAATAAAAAAACGTACATACCTGATATTTCTTCAGCAGGATTTTGTAAGTTTGCCATATTTCCCTGCCTCTTCGTATATTAGGTATTCTTAAATATATTTTACGATGTACTAAAAGTAAGGTAAATTGATAAGAATCTGTTTATATCAAATAGGTATACAATATTGAAATGCATACGTTTTCTATCAATATCAGTTATATTGGTATTATTTCCTTTGCCCAATATGTGTTTATTGATAAAAGTATTATTAGATATCTTAAATATTATGCGAAATATACCTAGGTATATCTAATCACTTTCAAAATTAAAGTAAATAAATAAAATTGAATTTGGTTTAATGCAACATATTTGTTTTTAAGATCTACCTACATTAGAAATTTAATTGGGTTTGTTATTCATATAGAGTTGTCAGACGAAAACGTACCATAGTGGCCGAATTTAGTAAAGTACTTACTTTATTTTATTGTATACGTTCTTTATACCAACATCACATGTATATTTTCATAAAAATATGTTAAGCCGTTTTAAAGTAAGAGCACAAAATCACTTTTAAAATTTCAAACTTAACACCTTGTAACTTTATTACTATTAATTTTTATAAGAGCAAGTTAGCCTGAATCGACTTATTTTCGACTCCAGCTGTGGTTAAATTTACTGTACATCTTTTTGTTGCACCCTGTAGATAAAGAGGCTTTTATTTAATTTTTCCATAATTTTTGTAAACTCATGAAGGGGATTGTCTAAAATGTTGGCGCATTTCTTAATAATGGTTCTGGTACGTTTTCGTCTGGTCACTCTGTATATTTTAGGTATTGTTAATCAGTTAAATAATAATTAAAATATGTACAATCGGCGCAACTGAAATGTGAACATATAAATTAGTTACTTACATATAATTTTTTTACCCACTTTTATTAAACCACAAAAACTTTGTTAACTAAAACAGTAAAATAATCGCAGACACTGAGTCGTTCAGAGTAGATCGGTTGTAACTGTACATTTTATTAATAAAAGTGAGAGTGATTCAACCAACCTCATGGTAATTTATGTTAAATCGGGTTCAATACTTGGCGGGATTTCCCAAATATTTTTAGAACGGCTCATTTTTTAGATAACTGGTCGACAACGATTGAATTGTTATGACGATCGCTTATACAAATAATCTGCCTTACATACAGAGGTTATTTTAAACGTAGCTTATCGGGAAACACATAACTTCCTAGTATTAATGTTAATACTGAAAATCTTTCATAAAATGTGCCTGTAATGGATTTTTTTTTTAATACCTACTCCAAATACGATTTAAAACTATGTGGAATAATTAATTTGCCTACAAATTTTCTTCAAATTAAACATACCTAATCCGTTACAAATAACACAGGAAAATAATAGAACATATCACACCTCAAAATAGTTTAAAATAATATATAATTTTTCATGAAAAACACTATGAAGTAACAAAATCACTTGAAATGACTGATCTCAGAAAATAATTAGCCTTTGACGATATTTCAGAATCCATGTCAGTGCTTAAGTCGTCTAGTGTATCAACAATAGCTTTATAAATTTCTTTAAATCCTAACAACCCATCATGATTTTCTACCCAGCGGGTCTCGCACATTGCCGTAAGGTTTTTCCACTGTGTTTCAAGGAAGTTTTTTTCGATATTATCTTTTAAACACTTGGTTCGTTTTGCCGAGGAAAATTTCAACTGCTGATGAGAGCCTTTACCTGCGCAATCTCTGGCAAATAATACACAATATTTGCATAAAGCACCTTGTTGCCCTGTACTCGTGTAAACCAACCACGAGAACCGTTTAAATCACTGCATTTGAAATTTTAGCTTTCTTTTATCGTCACTTACTGGAAACTTGAATGTCTTTTCTGGCATCCAAGGAGATTTCCACAATCTGTACTTTAAATCATCATCAATTTTGGTGTTTGATCCCGTATAATAGCCCACATCTAAAACATGCTGAGAAACATCATCCACAGTCCCAGGAACGGTGGCAGAAGTACCACAACTACTTGTAGCAGTATCACTGTCGAAAACACTTGAACACTGATTTTCAGTAGAACCTTCATTACCAGTACCAGGTTTAGATTTTTTAAATAAATATTTGAATAATATATTTTCTTGCATCCTTTTTGCCATTTCAAATGTTGAACCGACCTATAACAATTAAAAAAACAGCCAAATATTAATTCATTTTGTACACAAATATTTACTTCGATAAAGATTTAAAAGAAAATGAATACGAGTAGGTATTCTACTCTTAGGCATCAAATTCTTTTAATTTTAATTTAAATTACAAAAATTATAACACCACTTACTTCAATATTAATTTACAGCATTATTATTTCACACACTGCACTATTACTTCGCTTATATCGCCTTAGTCGCATCGCATTGGATCACTTTCCAAGACAGAACTGCCTCTCCGTGCTCGACGGCTCGCTTATATATTCCGCAGACGCGGCGCAACGAAATATCGAGAATAACCCGTCTCATTCTATGCTTATTGAATATTCCCGAAATGCAGTTCGAGCACGTTCTCGAAGTTGCGTTGCTTGTGTAGTTGGCGTAGCACGTAGTTTCGCCGCTCCCTGATAGATGTCGCTGCGCCACTATTTAAGTATCGTCGTGCGAATACCAAGCGAGCATAAAGTCATGCATAATAAAAATAACAGTGAGTAATGGAATCCTTTACTCAATGCTATTATGTTGTGTATAACAACAAAGTGAGACGGGCACACTGTATATAAATTCAGTCTCATTAATACTTATTAAAAGTATAAAATAAATATCATTTTTTATTTCGGGGGGGGGGGGGGGAGGGCGATCAATCCCCCTTCATAAATATAAATATTAGTGCTTCCTGGAATAAGAATATGAATGCATAAACTATTCCAAAGAGTTTCTTGTTTCTCCTAAAAATTAGCAATGAGGATGGGAAAGCCAAAAACGTTCTGCTAATTTAGTAATAATAGTAATTTTAAAAATCGACTTCAGAATCGTGCAGATGCTATTACAAATTGAGTTTGCTGATTTTATCAGATTTTAACTAAATATACAGTATGTCCTCCTAAGTTGGAATCATATGGAAAACTTTTTTATTATTAATTTAAAAAAAAAAGTTATTCTTCATAAAAAGTTCTGCATTATCTAAATCCTAGAATACATCAAATATCAAATTTTTCAAGCCTTATACGAGGTTTGTCAAAAAATATGAATTTTGCTCAAGAGTAAAGTACGTTTATTTTTGACAAAATCGAAAATTTTCATTAAGAAAATTGCTAAATTCTTAACAAACATCAAGAAAAGGAAAGCGTATCATGTTTATAGTAGATAAGAGAGAGAAAAAATTATGGATTACCGTAATTAGGTGGATCAATGCAAAATCTAGAAAAAATCTGATTTTTTAGATAGATCGGTGTAATTGCATATTTAAATGTAATTTTTAATTCTAATCAAATTTTCTTAATGAAAATTTTTGATTTTGTCAAAAATAAGCAAAATTCATATTTTTTAACAAACCTCGTATACGGCTTAAAAAATTTGATATCTGATGACTGTATTTTAAGTTTTGGGTCATGCAGGACTTTTTATCAAGAATAACTTTTTTCCTAAAATTAATAATAAAAACGTTTTCCATATGAATCCAACTTAGGGGGACATACTGTATATGGGACCATTCCTGAGGTACCCCCTTTCTAAAAAAAAAAGAATCGTAAAAATCGGACATCGTATTAAAAAATTATTGCCGAACTTAGATTAAAAAATGAAGTTGATGATTTTCTTATGGACGCCATTAATAGATCTTGACCTTTAAGTTATCATAAAAATCGGACAACTTGATAAAAAATGTTCGCTGAACATACATAAAAAAATATTCCGACGAATTGAGAACCTCCTCCTTTTTTGAAGTCATTTAAAAATGGAAAATGAATACTCAACTCAGGTCAATATATGCTTGCGTCCCACAGGGAAGTGTTCTTGGGCCAGAATTATATTTATTATACACCTATGTCATTCCAAATATAGAAAATATAAAATTAGATACATCCGTTATAGCCATAGGATCAATTATAGAAGAAATAGCAGGTAATTTTCAAAACAGAATCAATAGCATACAAATCTGGTCTAAACAATGCTGCCCAAAATAAAAGTGTGGATCACTGTATACCGGGTGTTCAAATTAAAATGTTACAGCTAAATACCGCCTTTTATAAAAAAAAACGTTTCAGACGAGTTTTATAGTTTTGTGGGGAAAAAATGTTGGCATCAATCGTTTTTTATAGCTAGCCATAATATGGCCAACTTTTTTTTCGCCCAGCAAAATTTTCAAGTAGCTGTTTCTCAAAAAGTAAAAGTCCAATAAAAAAAATATTTACATCAAAAGTTTCTTATTTTTTTATGTACTTTAAGAATATGTAAAAAAATGGGATATTTATTTAAAAAACAAAGTCCACCCCGATATGGCCATATTATGGTCAGCTATAAAAAAATGAATTTAGCCAAAATGTTTCCCCCAAAAAAACTATAAAACTTTTGTCTGAAACTTTTTTTTCTAAAATGCATATTTTCGGCGATATTAAACTGTAACACTTTAATTTGAACACCCAGTATAAACTTATTATAAGTGTTTATATTAGAATATTTAAGTTCTTATTAGAAATTTCAGAAATTATATTTAGAATTTTCATTACATGTATATAATATATTCTTCTCTTCCAAGTACCAATAAATTAAAAGACTATTCTATTTATAAAGTCTGTTGATAGATTCTTCCAAATATCATTGAAAAGAACCCTTATCAGACCAAATTTTCAGTTTACAATCTTAAAGACCCCTATTTAAATCAGAACCCTACACATCAGATTGTTTATTTTTTTGATTTCCACGATATCTAAATAGAACTGAAACAATCTTAAAGGCATGCATTTTTGTAGCACTGTCTAGATTTTGTTATATCCTGTATTGGTTAATGAACTTCGAATTCAAGTTAAATTATTTAAGTAATATATATATATTTTTTTTTTTGATAAATGAAATTTACAATCAACTAAAGTTGCTTCTGCTTGATGCTTCCCTAGTTACGATGACTAATTATTAATAATTATTAATTTTATGATAATATAATAAAAACCTATATTTTATTAGACTCAGAGGGGACTTCAACCCCTCAAATGTAGTCATCTTCGATGAGATAAATAAAACTCGAAATCTATCCCACATAATATAATGTGTATAATTACATTATAATGTGTGAGTTTTATTTTTCTCATATATTTTATTAGTCTAAAGATTCTAAAGAGAGTCGGTGTTCCACCAGGAACAGTTTTGGGACACTATTTAATATGACGGGTGGGTCAAAGAAAACGAAACGTTTTAAGTTTAGATTTTTCATAAAAAAACATGTCAATTTATTTGAATCGAATAAATTTGAAATTTAAAATGTCAAAATGACATCTCATTTCAAAAATGAGGCATTATTGATAATTGAAAGACCTTTCAAACAAGGTGTCACTCAACCCCACTTTCCATTTAAGATTTTTGTGGTGTACAGCACCCTGTTCAAGGGGTTAAAGATAAAGTTAAAGATAAAGATAAATTGACGTGCTCAAGCGATTTTTTTAATGACATTAGGAACCTTAAACATGAACCGTTTCGTTTTTATTTATCCACTTTGTATATGTTAATGAACTCTTTTTGTACTTCTAGTATATATGGTTTAACTAGTTCTGCTGATGCTACTGTAACGATTGTTCAATTTAAAATAGTTTAATTATTTAAAACAGTTTATTTATAATTTATTTAAACTACGTTCTAATTAATTTTTTTATACTTAAGCACTATTTATATTTCACACTTCTAATTTATTTAACACTTAACCTTTACTTGACAACATTTATATTCAGACTTCTGTATATAAACTTCAACTGAACTGCTAAACAATGTCGCGCTATTTATTTAAAGCCAGCTCTGCCCGAGAAGATTCTAGGTGGTC